TGCTGAGTTCCGGTTCTCTCTCGATCTTTTGATGCTATTGTTTCTGAGAGAGATATAAAATCTGGGTTTTAGGGGGATCTTCATGGACTTGTTGATGGTGGTGACTACTCAATGATGATTTTCTCTGCCAGTGACACTGATTATAATCTTTCATTGAGTGAAATCTGATGTTTGAAGTTGAAATGTGGCCGTGAATCACTTCACAAGAAGTTAGATTAAGCTCCGATTCTTGACAATGTGCAACTAATAGATTTATCATCGAAATTCCATGATTTAGAGGCAAAGAGTCTGAGAAATGTGTAAGAATGATTTGTGTAGAATATGATTGTTCTGAATGTTGAAGCGTCAAAGACAGTTGATTATAGAAGATTGGTCTGTAACAGCATAAGGGATATAAAGTCTGGATTATAGAAGATTGCTGATGGGTCTGCATTTGCCTGAAGACCTTGGATTGATTCAAGACTGATGTCTTCGACCATCTTCGAGATCGTAGGACAGTCCAACGAGCTTTTTAAAACCGACATTTGAATCCATGCCCTACTTGTACTGTCTTGTTTTATATTGCCAAGAAATTTGCCCGCGAAACCAGTTGAATTTTTGAGGGATTTTTGGTGGGATTCCGAGGAAGATGAGCTCGAAATTCTCGGGTTCCATGGATGATTTTGAGTTATTTAAAGGGGAAACTGGGTCTGAGTCATTGTTGGCTTCGACTAGAAACCCAAAACTGGAAGTGGTTGTATTCGAAACTAATTCAGTCACACCTCATTTTTTCACTTTCGTTCCCAAATAAACTGATCCGAAGATCGAGCAATCACACGAATTCAAGTAATACATTCGGCTTAAATGAGTTGTATAGTGTCGTGGATCCTATCTTTTTATCTCTCATTTGATGGAGATTTACATGTTTTGTCATGAATTTCCATGGATAGCGATTTGGGGTTTGATGTGTGATTTCTTCATTAGACTAGTGAAATGAAAACTCTAAGAATACTATAGGGGCTAATGTGTGATATTATTAAAAATCTAGGGCCTGTCCGAAAATTTCCGTACGTTCCCAAATATATAGCTTCGGGAGTTTCTCTCTTTCCGGGGAACGAGCGCGTCATCAATGGCGGCTAGGTTTTTTCAGCTAAGGCGCGCTCTCTCTGTATATGTCAGTAATCAGCATCGAAACCTTTCATTAATAGGTAAATGCCATTTCCCTTTGCTTCTTCTTCATTCTCCTTCGCGACTCTTCTCGTTTTTTTTCCTCATGTTTTTTCGGGGCATTTCTCATAGTCTTCAAGAACCCACGATTAGATTGCCTTAATAAACCCTAAATTTGTTTTCAAATGATGGAAACGATTGGGTATTTTGGTGTTATGAGGAACGATTGTTGTTGGCTGGTGAATGGGTTTTCCTTGATCTAGGTCTTGGAAAACCAGTCGTCGATGATCTCTCTGTGTGCGTAATCGGAATACGAAGATTTGAGCACTTGATAGCCATTGTTCTCAGATAAACTGTTAGTTTTTCACGTTTGCTCTCAATCGAACCATTAATAGGGGAAATTTCAGGCGTTGAATTTGCATTCGCTTTCTGCATTCCTAATCTGGTTGTCGTCCTGATTGGTTTGGGACCGAACCTCGAAGATGAATGCTGTCCAGATGCCGGAAAACTGGTCTGAGTCTGTGACTTGAAAGCTATTGTCTCTTTGATTAACAGGGAACTTGAGGGTGAGGTCCAAAAACTGCCATTGTTTCGCATATCTAATCTCAGGCCAGTTTCCGAATTCAAGCCTTGAGGAAGGGAAAATGTTTCGAGTTTTGAGCATTTACCTGCATTTCCTCGAACTGATTCCGATCATACCGTTGGCTACACACACATATATATATATATATGTACAATTATTTGACATTGTTTGGGTGTGTGTGTTGATTAATTTCAGAACACACAATCATCTTGGTCTAAGCAGTAGACAGATTCAGTTTCCATGTCTGGTTTCTTTCGCCACCGGTCTTGGCATGGACAATTCGTATCACCACTTGAACTTGTATTACAGTTACTTGTTGCAGAGTTATCGTGTTTGTACTTGTCCTGATGTTTGAATCTGTGGATTCATATGTTTTCTAGTGCCTTATTTCGTTTACCTTGTCTGAATGCTGAATTTTACGTATGAAGTAAAATAATCATGAATGAATTACCGATGAGGTTCGTGTTTCGATCTTGACGATGGCATGCAATGTCAGAGTTTATTTCTGACTCTTGGCATTTGAAATCTATTTTGACAGAGCAATTCCGGCAATCAAATTCGTACTTCAGCAGAGCTCACACGTTCACGAGACTATATTCGACTCGTCAGGCCAACAAGGAGGGTTCAGAGGCTAATACTACTTCCGAGTCTAACAGTGTCCCGACTCCATCAGCAGCTATCGTGGAAACGGATGTGAAGCATAAAGTGTTGTCGAACTTGAAAGTAAACCCGAGGCATGATTTCATGATGATATTTACGTGCGGGGTATGTGAAACGAGATCAGTTAAGATGGCATGCCGGGAATCGTACGAGAAAGGCGTGGTGGTTGCACGTTGTGCCGGCTGTAACAACCTTCATCTGATTGCAGATCGTCTCGGGTGGTTTGGAGAGCCCGGGAGCGTCGAGGATTTTCTCGCCGCTCGTGGCGAAGATATTAAGAGAGAATCCATGGATTCTCTGAACCTTACGCTTGAAGATCTGGTCGGAAAGAAGATCGCCGGTGAGTAGAGGAGATTTATTTGTTGTAATTATAATATCCCATAGGTGTGGTTTAATCTATGTACTGAGTGCCGAAACTTGAAAGTTCATCTTTTTGGTGCTGCTTATAGAATGATCTTAAAAAAAATTCTGTTTTTTGGTTATAATTATCAGAAATATCAGTGGACAATACAAAATTACAAATCATTTAATTTAACATAATATTAAGACAGATAATATTTTTGTTATTATCTTTGAGGTTAGTTTTTTAAAAATGAAAGGGAATTTTTTTTATCTTTATGTTCGACTAAGTCGGTTACTATAAATTAATAAATCTAAAGATAATTTGAAAATAAATTATTGTGAAATCAATTATTTCAGATCTTTATATTGTTCTTGAAAAGAAAAACCTCCATCAAACCTATGGCATGCATATTGTTGTTCTATTTTTTTTTATTCAAAATCTTTAAATTAAAATAAATTTAAAATAATTCAGAAATTCGTATACCCAAATTTTGTACAGCATTTGAGAATCTGCTTAAATTCATGTTTTTGTTTCCACAAGGTTGTGTAATGAGCAGTGTATGTTTATCGATAACCCAGTCAGTGACTAAAAGTTAAAATCTTCAGTTTGGTTTATTTCAGTTTCATTCAGACAGGTCCATATGTTTTCATTAAAAAAAAATATACCAGTAATGCCCTCAACCATTCTTGACTAAGTTTCCCTCTCTGCAGCACAAGAACATATAGACATGAACACATGACAAATCTTAACCTCTTTGGCCGGAACTGTAGCATAACCCCATGAAACTTCTGATGAACCCTAAAGTACCAATTCAGTTCGAGTCTCCACCTGATGGAGTAAACAGTCTTATCCCTATTTATACAGAAAGGTTCACGACCTCAAACCGCACAGCAAGTGAGCATACCGTTGAACCAAATCGGCCTTCATTTCAACTTTCAAACTTTTCAACCATGTAACCAAGAATTGTTTTGATTACTAAGCCATTCGCAAGAACGAGATGAATGGAACGTCACCTTCGAGCATTTGCTATGACGAATGCCTCCAAAGCCCATTTCGGATAGCACAAATTGGTCATTATCTTCATAACATCACTATTTTTCGGTTGGGTTGCTATCACGAATGCCTACACCAGAACGAGATCAATAGAACTTTCGAAATTGGGATTTCCATGTGTTGTCAGTGATTAAAATCTTCTAGGTTTGATTCACGTGTCCTTAAAAGATTTTCGGGATTTCCATCCACTCTTCTTCGTTTCTAGTAGAGAACGTAAGATTCGTACGATGGTCTATGGTAGCTTTGGCAAGGACACAAGCAGTGCTACTCATCCCTATGGTTAGTGGTGTAACCTGAATCTCTAAGCATATTTACAACTATTAATCAAATATTAGGGATTGAGTTTTGATACGAATGTTACAACCTAAAAGCGACCAAGTTGAACAGATTTCAACCAATTTTTTTTTAATTTTTTGAACAGATCCATTATGATACATGATTTAATAATTTTAAAATTAAAAATTTCTTTTGGCTTCCATTTAAACGCGAAGTCCCAAGACAGAAGAATATTTCACTGCAAAACCCGAACCATCATCCTCCTCGGCCCGTTCCGCCACATGTTCCTCATCAACCGCAGCTCTAAAACCCTAAAAACCCTAACTTTCACCTGCAAAGATGTCGCCTTCGACCTCTCTCATTCCACCCAAAAACGCAGTTATGTCGACGTTTACATGAAATGGAAAAGAGATCAGTTCTACGAATCGATCGAACACATTCACCGATCGGCACAGCTCAAATCTGTCATTGCTCTCAAGAACTGTATTGCCCAGGATCCCAACGGCTGCATCCCGATTTCTTCCGTCTCTAAGCGAGGTCGCGAATTCGATGTACCAATCAAGGTCGCCATGTTTCTGCGGAAATTTCCGGCGATCTTCGAGGAGTTCACGGGTCCGAATTACAACCTCCCGTGGTTTAGGTTGACACCAGAAGCTGCGGAGCTCGACAGGAAAGAGAGAGGAGTTTATCAGAATTCGGTTGATGGTTTGCGGGACAGGTTGAAGAGGTTGATTCTGATGAGCAAAGACAAGGTTCTGCCATTGAGTATAGTCCATGGCATGAAATGGAATCTGGGTTTGCCTGATGATTTCCTGCAGTATCCTGAGATTAATCTCGATTCGTCGTTTAGATTCGTAGATTTGGAAGATGGGTCGAAAGGATTAGGGGTAAAGATCAATGGAGAAAGGGTCTTGTCTGTGTTGCAGAGGAATGCAAGGAAGAGAGGGTTGTGCTCTGGGGAATTAGATGAAGCAGTTGAATTCCCTCTGTTCCCATCAAAAGGGGTGAGACTGAGGAGAAAGATTGAAGATTGGCTAAAAGAGTTCCAGGAGCTTCCCTATGTTTCACCGTATGATGATTATTCGAATTTAGACCCGAGCAGCGATGTAGCAGAGAAGAGAGTAGTCGGGTTTCTTCACGAGTTGCTCTGCCTCTTTGTCGAACATTCGGCCGAGAGGAGGAAGCTTCTATGCCTCAAGAAATGCTTCGGATTGCCGCAGAAGTTTCACAAGGCATTCGAGAGACATCCACACATATTTTATCTGTCTTTGAGGAACAAAACATGTACTGGCATTCTAAAAGAGGCCTACAAGGACAGATCCAGTGTGGAAAACCATCCTGTTTTAGCGGTGAGGAAGGAATACATACACCTGATGAAAGCTTCGGAGGCGATTCTCAAGAGTAGAAGGATCAGCAATGCATGTCGGTTCGAAGGAAGTGTGGAGAAAGATTTGGACTTGGAGTTTGATGACGGAGAAAGAAATGCTTCACGGGTTTAATTTAGGGAAAG